TTACTTAACCAGTCTGAACTTCTGTCCCATGTACAGGTTAATAATCACCGAACTGTAGGGTTTCCTAGAGGAGAATCAGAGGCTATGCATATGATCACAGCACCAGGCCAAGCATTTGAACAGAGCTACTACTGCTGCCATTCGTGCTCACTGTATTCTCATCCTACCTGGCCTCCTGTTTATTGGCCCTGCCCAGCCAGCACCACTTCTCTGAGCCATGCTCACTCTCCACCTTCTCCCCTTTGTTTTAGCTCCCTCATATCTGGGCAGAAGCGGTGTTGGGTAGGCCTTTAAATACCACAGAGCCAGAGAGGAATAAGGCCCTCATTGGTTGATAATTGCATGTTGGTGATGGTAGGATTCTGGCAATGGTTGGTTGAAACTCCACTGCCCTCAGCCCTCCTCTGCCACACACCCCTCTTTCCTCTCCTGCTTTCTTGGCTCCAGCCTTCCTTGTCCCCTCCATATTCGTCCTACACACCAGGCTTCCTCTAACCTTCACTGAGGACCTCTTAGCTTGGCCACTCACTATCAGATGCCATCTCCTTGACACCAGATTCAGCTCTGAGGTGCAGCCCCCTCTTGCCATTCCCTATCCCAGCACATTGGTCATAGCCTGTAACAGAGCCTTTCCTGATGTCTGTCTCCTCAGCAGCTCAGGAGGGCAGGAAGGGAGGCTCCTTCACACTGTATTCAGCAACCAGAACCGAGCCTGCTCCTGCCACTTGCCTCCACCCATCACCTCAAGAAGTCCTGCTCTGGCCTGACCCACATGCAGTGGCTGAGGGGGATGAGGACAAGCCTTGGGGAATCCACCTCTGGAGAGTCCCTTCCAGAGAGCCCCTCACGGCTAGCCTGATCCTTCCCCTAGGCCACTACCCCAGTCTCTCTTCACAGGCTGTGAGCTCAGTGTGTAGGACTAAAAAGCAGAATATTGGGTCCTACTGCAGTCCAAATGTCACTTTCTTTGTGACCTTGAGCAAGTCCTTTCCCCTCTCTGGGTCTTACTCTCACTGGCTCTAAAATGACTTAGTGCTGGGGACACACATGGATGCCTCTGAGGCTAGAAAGGAGTCATTGCTTGGGGATCACATGTCCTCAAGGGTAGGGACCCATCAAAGGGAGGGCTGGTAGAGAAGTGAAGAGAGCACATCCACCCTGGACCAGCCCACAGCTCCAAGTCTGCTGACTCCTCAAGAGAAGCTGACAATCTGATGTTTGATGAGAAATCTTCTGATGGTTAATTGTCGACAACTAATTCACATTTTAATTTTTTAAGAACTTGTTGCCGGGCTCGGTGGCTCAGCCTGTAATCCCGCGCCTTTGGGAGGCTGAGGTGAG